GGCGTCCTTCCTCGAGGTCCCTTCCCGTCCAGACACTCGGATTCTAGGCCTTGAAGCCCGCGTGACACCTCTACTGTGGCTTCCGTCCCCACTGTGACGTCGCCCTTACGGCCTCACCCGGTGGCCGAGCTCACCCTGGATGGGGCTCTACCGAGTAACTTCCTGGGGTGGCACGTTTTTATCCAAAAGCTATTAGCTACACATCAGTGTTTAAAGAAGAAAAAGTGACCTTTCATTTTTTTTTTCTTGAAAACTTGAGAGGAAACAATACATACTACTGATTTTTTTTTTTTTTTAAAGAAACAATGCATGACTGCAGGCAGTAGAGGCTCTATTTTTCATAAAGTGGGGGAGTATTTGTGCTGCTTTCTGGGAGCGGGCTGGAACGTCTGGTTCCTGTCGCCGGCCGGCAGCCACGCTCTTGTCTTCTGGAGAACGTGACCGCCAGCCACAGGGCCTCACCGCTCCTGGCACGCGGAGAGCTGCGGGCCGGGGCTCCTGGGCCTGTTTCTACCTTCATTTGAACCACTTTGATTTGGGGAGAGAAAAAGAAATAGAACTTTTTGATAGTGTGGTAAAGCATTGATTTGAACTATTTTAGTAAAGGAGTACCAGAGAAGATTGTGATAGTGTCTACTTTGCGCTAGATAAATAAAGGCTCTTTGCAAGCCTGCCGCCGGCGTGCGTGTCTGTCTCGGCGGGGCGCCCGGCCGCTGCGCCACTCCTCTGCCTCAGGCAGCTGGGGCCCAGGCCGGTCCTGTGAGGACACCCCCATGGGCGCAGGCATGGGGCTGGCCCAGATGCTTGAGGTTGGGGGCCCGGCCCCCCCGGGCGGGCTGTGCCCGGCCCCAGTGTGCGGAGGGAGGCCGGTTCTGGAGGCGAGCGCCCACCTCTGCCCACAACAAGCCGGAGGGTCGTTTCAAATGTTTATTTGGATAACTGAAGGAGGCTCATTTGTAACCAAGATGGGGTTCACAGTATGTTGTTACATTCACACTTAAAAAATATATCTCTATGTACAGGACTTTGCAAATCGATGTAAACATACATTACTTCCCAAGTACACGTCTCCCCTTTACCTGGAGGAGAGAGAAAAAAGCCATCCAACAAGGCCACCCCTTCAAAATAACTTTTAATACAAAGAATGCAAATATTTCTAAATCAAAAATGTGGTTCACCTGACGTAGCGGGTGTCATGGGAAAGAACGTCTCGGAATGAAAGTGATGGCAACAGCTTGACCTCAGGTGGAACTGGACGATTTAAAATTGAGTTTCCAGGAAAAATAGGCACTGATTTCTAGAAGGAAAGTCACTCCTTACTGAAGCTATTTACTGAGCCAATATGGCTGGTTAACACCTCCCTAGCATAAAGGAACCCAGTGCAGACCTTGGACGGCACCGCTGAAGCCAAGTACAGCCGATCACGATGGGCACTGCCCAGGCTCCCTGAAAGCCGCTGTCCCCCACGCCCCAGCTGGGAGAGCCCCCCCATTTCATCCCGTGGGGCCAGTCACTTCTTCCCATACCGCAAGTGTCTAGCGTTACACAAAGGACCCTGCTGCTCACCCACTGAACTACTCTTCAAGTTGGTTAGAAAACTTGGTAAAAAAACAAAGGGAAGCAAAGGCCTTCCGCGTTATCTCATCCAGGCGGCCCGCCCCAGCCCCCCCACTGGAGGCATGCCAGGTGGGGGGATGGGTGGGGGGACCGGGGGCTGCCCTCCAGGGGGCACCGCTGGAGGTGGGTAGCTAGCAGGTGGCAGGCCCAGGCCTGGAGGAGGGTGAGGCGGG